AACTCTTGAGGTGAATGCGATGCCTTGTTTAGAGCAAGCACCATTTGAATTGTGGTAAGCTCCTCCTCTACAAGGTCCTCTAGCCCTCTTTTGAACAGAGAAACTCTTCAGCTCCCAAGTTAAGGAACGAGTTAGGAGTCAGAATGGGATTAGCAGTGCCATCAGAAATAAATGCAAGAGAGTGACAGAGCTGCTCAGCTGTTCGGATAGATTCGAAGCTGACGTTTTCACTGCTACGACCAGCAAGTACAGCCCTCTTCTACGACAGAAGAAGCTTTGAGTGGGTCCTTTCGGATATTATGTAGTTCTGATTCGCATTCATCTGCGACGGCCTCAGAAGTAACGTAGAGTAAGCTCATCTGAAAGGCATGATTAGCTGGAAAGTCTCTCTCGCTAAGCGAGCAACTAGCGTGGTCTTTAGCGACATTAAAGGTGCAAGATCGAGCGACAAGGGTGCCTATACCGTGATTCCTACCCTTGACCCATAGCAGATAGGGACATTGTTTCCGATAAAAAAAATCAGCCGGAATCGGTCGCGGAGGCCACAAAACCACCGTCCGGTGATCTCATCCAAACAGACTCTTTCTTCACTCTCCTCATGTCCTTCAAAGTCACCGTCAAGTCAGGGGATCTTACTTAGGACATCTATTATCTAGTTTCTTGGCATCTTGGCATTCCTGATTCACCCCCTCCCTCCCTACCCACGACTTCTGATCGCGGACATTGTCTCCGAAAGACAGAGCACCGCTGACACTGCAGCACTTTGATAAAAAAATCGTTCATTGTGGAACAAGTGAGAAACACACCTCTTTCTCGAACAGTGGCTTCCAAACTTCCTGGAATGGATTTTGTACAAGTTCCTTGAAATTATCCGGGTGGAAGTCGGACGAACTTGCTTCGAGAACGGCTTTATAGCGCAGAACCTGAATTGTGATCATAATGCGCAGAATTCACTACTTATCAGGTTGGCGGGTATGTTTATTTTTCTATGAAACACCTTCCACATATATTTACAATTCCTTTTAAAAATTGCATTTTAACATTATAAAAAATGTTTTCTAGAATGCGGTACATTCGAACAGGT